TATATATATATATATATATATATATATATATATATATATATATATATATATATATATATATATATACACTCTTCCACGCAACTTCGACGTTTAAAAATAAAACGTTGACATAAAATTAAACATAAGGTTCGTAATTTAATGATTTAAGTAATACTATTATTTAAAAATATGTCAGATCGCAGTATTTCGTTCATTATTGATGATTGAAATGATTTGTGTAAATCGGGATTAATTTTGCATTCTTGTATGAAAATTTTTAAAAGAACATCTCGATCCACAGTCGTACATGTATGATAATAGAGATGTTAGCAATTATTAAGTCTGTAAAACAAATAATATACATACACAACCTTTTACAGGTTTACCTTTCACATGCTACATTAAGTCTATATTAGTTTGAAATTTTGAGTATACAATTTGCTTCTCATATATCGTGAATATGCCATTTTGCTTTGAATATACTATAGTAAGACTCAGGCATTTTCGTTATTTCTGCCCAGCTATTTTATTATAACTTATACATATGTCATATGTGAAACATTTTTCCACTTACCAATTTCTACCGGCCAAGTCACACATGTATATATTACACCTCTATGCTTTTTAACTATGATATACATAGATATATACATACACACATGTATATCCTCTTTCTGTTATACAAATGAAATATTAAATTGTTCTTTATGTATTGTTTATTAACTATCACTTGGTCTATGTATTTTGTGTTACAGAGAAAGATATGAGTATAACATTCCGAAGAAATTACAATACTTAAGAAACTTAGATTTTAACCATGTTACATAAAATTTTAAACTATAGTTAAACATATTTTTTCATAATATGTTCTATTACACAATTTATATGCTCTGTCGTACAATTTTTTTAGTTTCTTTTGAAAGTAATTGCTGCATTTACCTTATATTATGTGCTTTCAACAATTATGATTTTCTGCTTGAATAGTGCCAGACATTGTTATTTTGACAACATTAGAATATATAGTGTCATTAAGTGTAAATATGAACTTTATGTATTTCGCATCATATATTGTGATATTATACAGAATGGATCATGAGAAAATTATTCAAAGTACTTATCATCCCCATATTAAATATCAACATACAAGAATTTAAAAATATGATGTGAGCATTAGAACTATTTAATCATAAATTAAGTAATTCCATTTAGATAGATCATTATTCTTTGGTAGTAAAGTTGTATTATTTGTTATATTTTTTGGCTATATTGCAGCCTAGAGTAAGTCTTAATATAAAAGTTAAAAACTTTAGTATGCATTATACTTAAAACTATTATATAAATATAGTATATAAACTAATTAAATTGAGAAAAAATACAAAAGAGAAGTATATTTAAGAATGTATTGATGAAATTTAAAAAATGTGCTATTTGTATATAGATTCAAAAATATGTTCGTCCATTCTGACTGACATTCGAATATTTGATGTCTCCTGCACATATACTAGTATATACTCTTTCAATTAATGTGGATAAATATTTGAGATATGATACTTGTAAATATTAGAATTGATGTAAAATAAAAAAATAAAGAAAATTTAACACAAAAAATATTTTGTTGAAATGACAAAGTTATAAACTTTAAGTAGTACATATAATTAATAACTAAATAATTTTTATCTTGAGAAATGAATATGTTTAAGAGAGTAGTTGCTATCTTATATGTTTTTATTAGTCTTGTTTTCTATAGTCTAGGAATTATAACCTCTCTTTGAAAACCTGAGTCTTATAGGAACATTATCACGTCTATTTAGCCTACCTCGTCCCATGCCTACTGAACTAACGAATGATTCCACATCATCACTTTCAGATTCATCATTTTGATTTATGTATGTTGAAGCTTTGAATCTTGAGAATGCTTCCATTTGTTCTTCTTCACTATCTTCAAATATACTTGTAAAACTAGATTCATTTGTCCGTTTTGCTGAGGTCAAAGTACTGTATTCTGCATATTGCACAAATGAATTATATTTTAAGAATCAGTATATTTTCCTCTTGTTAAATGATTTCTTAAGAACTTTGAATGATACTTACGTTCAATGTGGCAGGTCTCAACAACCTTCTTCGTAGGACATATTTTAATATGTTCTGCGATCTCTAATTTGTTCAGACGGTGAGTTGCATTGTATGGGCAAATGACTTTGTCATTTTCCCTGTAATTCTATGAAAAATTTAATTATTTTATATAAGAAATTACTACAATAGGCTCTTCTATATATCTATATATATATATATATATATATATATATATATATACTCAAATATAATTTATATAGCGGTTACCTTTTCGCAATTTACAAGGTGTCGTTGAAGACTCGAACTAGGCATAATATGACACTTGTTGTAAGGACATTGTACCATTTTATTATCACTCGAAATATCATACATCTTGCACACGTTATAACAAATTATGTACTGCGATATTCGATTATATTACAAAACTTAACCTTAATGGTTTATTTTTTAATTCTAGAGCTGCGCCCCAAAATTCTATTCGGCGGGTAAAATAACATTTGATTAATAAAAGAGAATAAAAAAAATCTTGGTTCTCTTTGTTCTGATGAGTCAATATGCTACTCTACTCCTCGAGTAGAATTTTCAAATTCAACCCAGGACCGCCCTATCCGCAAACTAGTTTGCTCTAAAGATAGTGGTACACGGTGCTCGTTTTCGTGTTGGATGCTTGCTGGATGGAAATACTCTGTTTTGATTGGTGCATTTCCATCCATCTTCAGAAATGCACCAATCAGAACAGAATATTTCCATCCAGCAAGCAATCCAGTATGGTAACTAGAGAGGAGACATCGATAAGAAATAATTGATTATAATTCTAGTAACTTAATTGGAGCGCACTGATTATCGGTAGGAAGTAATGGCGTTGGGGCAAAATTCTTAGAGAAGCTTGGAGCCAAAGATTGAAGTTGAAGTTGATTATCAGTAGCCCGATATATCGAGCGAAATAATCGATTCTAGTAAGAATCGGATACACTATCACTATTTCGTTAAACATATGTGTGCTTATATATTTATAGTTTACGTGACATATATTATAGATGAATAAATGCATATACCGTTTGCGGAACAAATTTTTCCAATCCAACTTATTTTTATTAGCATAAAAACAAAATGGATCTAGTGAAATTCAATGATATACTAAAAATGTACCAACCAGAATAAAGCATTTCTAGTATGTCACTGAATCTCATCAGATTCAAAACAAACGCTGTCCGTCGGTTTAATGCAAGATTCACAGTAGATTTGCAGTGGTGCAGTTAAAGAGCTGCACTACTGAACTGGTGCAGTAAGTGAGTGAGACAAGTATATTTTGGTTGCGTTCCGTTTCACGCATTATGCGCGTATTGCCTACAATATACGTGACACAAACTATAGATAAATGCGCCATATGCGTGAAACGGAACGCGGTCCTTATCTTGCTCTAACTTATTGCTTTACAAATAGTGCCAAATCATAAGAAGTTATTATTTTCAGCGGATTTCCTTTCAATTGGGGGGACACGAATCAGGATCACTTTCGTTATATGGAGTTCGACCTGTCTTACTTCATGGTCCATACATACGCCCTATACAAGTGCACTGTTCGCGCGAACCAGTGTTTCGATATTGGAGAGGCTATAAGCGCATGCACGGTGTACACGGCACCAGGAAAGTATCTAAGACAAATAATAAAGGCTGCGTTCCGAAATTTACTGCCAGTACTGAAAATCTATAGGTTATGTTACGTATATTATAGAATTTCAGTACTGGCAGTGAATTTCGGAACGTAACCATAATGTACCGTTGGAATCCCTACATTATTATTGAAAAATTGTTACGCGCATGCGCGTATAGTCTCTCCAATCATTGAACTATGGGTGCGTTCAGATTCCCTACCCGGGTGCACTCTATTACTAGAAACACTATAGTATATGTTACATATACTATAGCACTTCTAGTATTAGAGTGCACCCGGGTAGGGAATCTGAACGTACCCTTTAAGGGCTATCGCACACAAATTGACATAACTACATATGCATAGCATAAGATCGTATGGACCAATGAGCATCGAATATTAAGCATCGAACATCAATATGGCGACTTAATACTCGATGCTCATTGGTACATACGGTCTTATGCTATGCATATGCAGTTATGTCAATTTGTGTGCGATAGCCTTAATACAACTGGAATGGGCGCCAGCAGCACTGCCGCGTGGCCGAGAGAGATAGCTGCTGTACAATCACAGCAAAAAGTTGATCCATAGCTTCTAAGAATTTTATTATTATAATAATTGTTTCTTTATGTGTGTATTATATATTATTACATGCAATTTTGGCGTAAAGTTACGCAATAAAATGGGACGATTTGATTAGCTTAACTCGGACGACGCGACGCGTGACGCGCTAAGTGGAAATGCACCCTACGACGAACGCACCTATGAAAATCTGTATTTACGAGCCACGTATTTGCGGTCGCCATTTTGTGGGCCATATTCCCTAGCATAGTCAGTCTCTGTTTGAGGGTCGTTAAAGCTCTATAGCTAGTTCCGGCAAGTGTTGTTTTTCGAAGTGTGATTTCATCAGAGAAAGAGTTTATATATCATACAGTAAATCAATTGATAACGTATAATTGTGTCTTCCTTCGGTCTATACTTTTTAGAATCTGAGACGTGTAATTCTGTATAAACTCCACACATACGTGTACTTTCGTCCATAATAGTAAGTGGCTTCGGTGTGGATATTGTTGCTTGAGAACTGCATTCTCTCATCGCTGTCCATGCTTCACATGTGTGAATACAAGTTAGACATGGACATTGATAACCAGAGCGAGGACGGAGAAATCAAGAAGAGTCCATCAAAAGATATGGGTGATTACAGGTAAGATATATTGTGTGCCGTCGAGTATTTCTGTAATTTGAGATTGCTATAATTTTGAGGTTAGGTTTAAAGATTGACCAGCCATGAAACAACCACAAGGAGTTTTTGTACGCAATCAAGTGCGACAAAATGTTCGAGACATTCTCGAACGGAATGCGTTACTTCGATGCACGAACTGTTCGAAAGTGTGATATGTATTATAATACGAGTTCGCGAAGTCTTTATAGGTTAGTTGATAAATAAATGTATTACTCGAGACACTGCATGCGTGCGCTTGCGCAATCGATTTTTTTTGTCTTTGCACTCTCGACGTTTTATCCAGGGCTGCGTTCAGAAACCCTACTCTGTGAGTAGAGTAACATTTAATTAGCCAATCAGAGCAAAAGGAACTAAGATTTATTTATTATGATTGATTTATTAAAGTAACTCTACCCATCGAGTAGGATTTCTGAACATAGCCCGTGATGTAAATATAAAGGTGTACCATTGCGCATGATGATACAATGTGATGATTACGTATAGTGACGTAATGTGTAGTGAATCAATTGGAAATGAGCAGGAATGCAGCCGAAAAATTCAAATGCCCAAAATTAATCGTACATTACTAATATGTATTTAAACTTAAAATCTGTAATATATATATATATTATATATATATATATAGAGAGAGAGAGGGGGGGGAGAGAGAGAGAATAATAGTACTAAATATATATATATATATCGTAAAAATTTGTAGCACTAGATATTCATTGCGTTATTTATATAAAAATACTTACAATATGTTGTTAATATTCTTTTACTTTTATATAACCTCTTAATTTCTTATAATATATAACACAACGATGTGTATGCTGTCAATAGCCATATTGGATTCTAACATTCCTGATTGGGCATTTCTGATTGGCTATTATTTTGGACGACTGCGCATCCACGGGACTGGTACACCTTTATATTTACATCATGGTTTTATCGGCAATGTAATCTTTGTGCGTACGCCATGAATGGCGGAGTTCATTCCGTGGAGTCTTTCATTAATCCCGATTACGGAATATCAGAGATAAGTTGACTTTTCATAATAAATAAAAGTCGAGTCGTGTCACGAGCAGAATGACGAGCGATGCTGCCTAGAATTTTTAGGTATTTAGAATTCCGTAAAACGGATAGCATATATACATATATATACATATATATGCACTATTGTACACATACGATTTTTCGAATAGTTTATTATTTGTAATTATTGTTATTTACTGTATCATGCTTATGTATCTTAGCTGTCAGTAGTGTATTTTGTTAATTATTAAAATCTAATCTCAATTTTTTCTCCTTTCTCTTTCTCTCTTTTCCTAAATTTACAAGCAATATGAAGATTTTAACAATAATAGACATGACATTAATTTTTTTCAAATCTACATATAGATCAATGAACTTACATACATACAAGTGTCAATAAACAAAGAGAAATAATAACACTACATATTGTCAAAATACTGTAATTGAGATTCAAGTCTCAGGAAGATCCACTTTTCATTTCTATATTTATAGTTGCATATTGTCTATTTACTTTAATTTATCTTATATTTCCAGCTTTTCAGAGGAAGAAGGTGGCGACACTGCTGACTCCTTAGACATTAAACCGCCACAAGCAGTTGTGCGTCACCATAAGTCAAGCTCATCTCGTCGAAGGGAGAAGCACAGCGACAGGAGAAGTCGTAGGGATGAGAAAGAACGTAAGTCGCGCCAGCACGAACGCGAGGACAGGCACAGAGACAAACATAGGCATCGTAGGCATGCCGGAGACCCTCTGGAAAGGTCTGAGCGTTTGGAAAGTTCCAAGAGAAACCGCGACAGAATGGAACGTCTAGACAGAATGGAGGGTCACTCGCGGGACAGTCGGGAATCGTCTAGGCACGAACGCAAAGAAAGAAGTACTGGAGATCGTGTGTTGGAAGATTTGAGAGAAAGGTAATTATATCTCATGTTATCTTTACGAGCAGTCTAAAAATTCACGACACCCTGTTATGCTGGTGGAACTCATCAAACTGAACACAAAATTCCTCTACAATTTGTGATTGTGATGTGCGCAATAATGTATCAAACTTTTTAATTTAATAACTAAAAATCTACATGCTTATTTGCAAAATGATACGACTCTTTTGTTTAATTTAATCTAATGTACAAGCATACGACAGCTATCGCCATCATTTACCGTTCCGCGCGTAATCATTTGCCAATCTTCTTTAATTGATAACTCAAAAAATTTTGTGGTTTGCAGGATGGTAGAAAAATTTTATATTCAGTTTGTTTCAATGTTTGTGTAATGAGTTCTACCTTCATACAACGGGCATGTCATGAATTGTCAGACGCTTTGTAGGTTTTTCATTGTGTCTGTCTGCCTCTGATTCATAAAGTAGAAGCGCTAATTATTTCTCTATGACTTATTTTCTTTGTTGCAGGAATTTAGTTCACAAAATTTACAAAGTAAATTCTGTTAATTTTTAGGTTACTAGATAAAAGAAGGGAAAGGCGGGAGGAGCCGCGCGATATTCGCGACTATAAGATTGAATCTCGTCGTGAATTGCGCTTAGACGACGCGAGAGAAATGCGCGAGTCGCGCGATCGTCGGGACGTACGGATGGAAGATATCCGAGACCGTCGTGAACTGCGAATCGTGGACGATGGTAGGGATCGTCGCGAGGTTCGCGTGGAAGAGCAGAGGCACATACGAATGGTTGTGGACGAACAATTCTCAGAGAATGAACTGATGGAACGGCCCGAGAAACGTCGCAAGAGATCTCACAAGCACGACAGAATGCGCGAGAGAGACCAAGAGAAGATGGAACGTGAGAAGGAGCACAGAGAGAAGCAGCTGCGCGAGGCGATGGAGATTGTAGCCGACGAGATTAATGAGATGGAGGCGCAGAATGAGATCCCAATGAGGGATCTTAAGGATCCAAAAGAGATGACGGAACAGGAACTCCGAAAAGAAAGACTTCTGGAAGCCGACCGAGAAATGGCCAGGAGAAAGGAAGTTTCCAGAATTGAATTGGAAGCAAGAAGAATGAAGAGGGGCGAGAAACGCTTAAGTCCTGAACATAATCCGGATCCGTCCATCGTCGAACTGTCGGACGAAAGTGTCAGTCTCACTCATTCCGAAGGCGCACATTCCAAGTCGCCAGAATCCAGACATTCGTCAGAAGGAGAGAGGAGCATACGTGACAGATCATCGGATCGACGCTCGTCCGACTCCTCGGAATCGAGCAGTGACGACGACGAAGAGTCGAACGAATCTAATAAAGGTTCCAATGGTGATTCCAATGACGCCTCAGATTATAACAATCCGAGTCCACTCTCTGTTGATCGACTTGCAAAGTCTGATCATTCCGACGGAGATTCTCCAGGACACGTCGATTCCAACAACATGTCTAAAAATGTAGAGAAGGAGGAGAAGAAGAAAGAAGAGGAGGAGCCTGAGTTACCGCCATATTTACCAGCTATTCAAGGTTAGTAAAAAAGTAAAATAGTAAAAAATATAAAATATCTACTGATATTGTGTATATTTAGTTTTTGAATGCTGCTCTTGTTGGTAAAATTCGTACGATAAATACATTTCTATAAATCATTTCTACAGGTTGTAGAAGCGTCGAGGAATTTCAATGTTTGAATCGAATCGAAGAGGGCACATACGGAGTCGTATACAGAGCACGTGATAAACGCACGGACGAAATAGTTGCGTTGAAACGATTGAAGATGGAGAAGGAGAAGGAGGGATTTCCGATCACGAGTCTAAGAGAAATCAATACGTTGTTGAAAGCGCAGCATCCCAATATCGTCACTGTCCGGGAGATAGTCGTCGGTAGCAACATGGACAAGATATTTATTGTCATGGATTACGTGGAACACGACCTAAAGTCTCTCATAGAGACAATGAAGCAAAAAAAACAAGTTTTCATACCTGGTAAGTACGCTTGATCGTAACTAACTGATTTACATAGACTCTTATTCTAAGTTCTCTTTTAACGATAAAAGAGAGTTCATAGTGAAAATCATAATATGAACGTGAGAAGATCAACGTTCCGATCTGTTACAGGGGAGGTAAAGTGTCTCATGCAGCAATTGTTGCGCGCAGTCGCGCATCTACATGATAATTGGATATTGCATCGTGACTTGAAAACGTCCAATCTGCTACTCAGTCACAGGGGCATTCTGAAGGTTGGCGACTTCGGTTTAGCTCGGGAGTACGGCTCTCCCTTGAGATACTACACGCCAATCGTAGTAACACTTTGGTACAGAGCACCTGAGTTACTGCTGAGCGACACGGAATACAGTACACCTGTAGATATGTGGTCCGTAGGGTAAGTAAAGATCTGGTATCGTAGTGTTTGCAATCTACATACGACAAATTGACCGATACGATAAAGTTACGTTTGTTCATTCCTCAGGTGCATCTTCGCCGAGCTTCTGCGGATGGAGGCGCTGTTCCCTGGCAAATCGGAGGCCGATCAGTTAACTAAGATATTCAAAGAATTAGGAACTCCAAGTGAGAGAATTTGGCCGGGATATAACAAATTACCTGTGATTGTAAAGAGCCCCCCATTTGCGCATTATCCTGTAAATAACTTGCGACAAAGATTCAGTTTGTCGCTATCCGAACTGGGAATCGAGTTGTTGAATAAGTAAGTCATTTTTATGTTTATTTCATAATTTGTAACGACATACCGGATATCGTTAAGACAACATTGTTGTTATCGTTAAAATATTATAGATTAGCAATGAATGCGGAATACGAATAGCACCCAATAACAAATTTCCTTATGAGTATGTTTTAATTGCAGATTTTTAACGTACGATCCTCGTCAGCGTGTTACCGCCGAGGACGCTCTGAATCATGAATACTTCACGGAAGCACCACTACCAATCGATCCGCAGATGTTTCCCACTTGGCCCGCGAAATCGGAGCAGGGAGTCAGAACCACGAACGCGTCCCCCAAACCCCCGAGCGGCGGCAAAGAATACAAACAGCTGGGTGACGGTGACGACGCCGATTTGAGCAACTCTGGTTTTCATATGGGACTGACCGAGAGCGGCAGAGCTCCACCCGTCGGCGGCGGTTTCCACTTGAAGTTCTAATCATGTGACGATGCTCCATGCATTGTACGTTTTGACGAAATTTTTATTACTTCGACGTAATTTGTACAAAATATACCGTATACATATTTACACGTAATAAGTAGCCCAACGTTAAGTAATAAATAAGTGTACATCTTCATTCTGATTGACAACATTTCCTTCCTCATTTCTCGATTAACTCTATACGATATATCAATGATATATAAAAATCGAGAAAAATAGTAATTCTGCACGACTACAGTTTTCGCGATCGCACCTCCATTTAGGATGTTATAAGAAAATGTAAGATACAAAAGGAGGGAGAAGAAAAAACATAAGAACTGTAATATAGGAGAGAGTGCTGTAACAAAGAGTGATAAATAAAATATAACAATATATTTGTATGTTACGTATCACTGTATTGATTCATTGTACATGATCGGTGTCCTCGCGAGAGTACATTGTAAAACGAATACTGTCCGATGCGCTCTTGTCTATATTTTCTAATTCTATGCACCATATGCGACAAGCTATGATTGCCACAAGATATTGTTAATGACTTGGTTTGGTTCATATGAGTTAAGCGGTTTTAGTCTTATTTCCCGGCATTGTGCATGTTCTTTGGTAGACCCAACAGCGAGTTTATGAGCTCGGAATTGCGCTTGGGATGACAAAATCGTGATGTTACTAGCAACAGTCTGGCCAGTTGCTCGCTGTCCTAAAAAAAAAAATCAAACGTTGCGTAAACGAGCGACACGCGAAGAAACCACTGTTTCGTATATTATCTTCTCTTTTACTTCTCAAATTAAGTATCAAACGTACGCAATACGATGCTTAAGTAGTGTTTCCGATTCGAGTCGGCGTGACGTCGATTCTTCCATCTTCTATCACGCAAAAACATTCAATATTGTTACGAAACAACGATAAGAGCGACGCGACGCCATTACTCACACCTGAGTTTACCCAACCGTCTTTCCCGACTCGAATCTCGAGGACGAACTTACCAATTCTCTGCCGTACGGCAGATTCAGATCCAGAACGTTCCTGTCGGCATCCTCGAGCACGCCGAGCGCTTGTCCGCAGACAATACCGAGCATGATGACGAGAACGAACCCGCACCTCGCGTAGGTAGCCATCGGTGGCTGCTACTCGTGGAAGATGAAGTAACGTCAAGGACCTCCGATGTGATCTGATGGAAATTCGTATCTATGAGCTCGTAGAAACGAAAGTGTATAATAATGAAAATAGCGCCGCAAAAGAAGGAGGCAACGACAGGAGCGAGTCCTCGAGATTGCCTCGCTTCAATTATATGCCGCGCGATCATTCAACATTACTCACGTCTATCGTAAGTGTCGATCTGCGATGCGTCGTCGATGTCGTGCAAGTGAATGCGCTCGATGCACCTCGCGATATACACCGCGATCCGAAGACGCTGTTCTTTTATATACCAATCGTCCTCTGCCGGAATCTGCTTCTGACAGATGAGCGAGCGCAAGCCGACCGCCCTGCGAACGACAGATGTCCTCCTCCGGGAACTGTCGCGCGGAAATTACGCGCCGATTAATTTCCGTTTTCCTTCTGAAGTTATGTAAAAGAAATCCTATCGGCGAAAATGCTGGAAAACGCGCTCTGACAGGCACTTCTCCGACGAATCGTTTCGACGGAGCTCCGAGATCGAGGTAGATCCGATTCGAATCCTTGGTATCGCGGTCTATGAATCCTAAGGCGACTTTGGACTATTGTATGAGTTTTGAACTTGCACTAGAGAATTCCTTCCAGAGAAGGAGTCCGTCAAAATAAGAACATCAGTAAGATATTATATTTTTTGACATTGCTCCATATTTTACTATGTCTAACTTGTAATATTTGTTGAAGAGAATATCAGTTGATTCTCTTCGCCGCACTTTCCATGTATCAAGAGCCGATCGATGCCGTCGACATGGAGGAAAATCTACGATCTATCTCATGAGAGGTTGCCCCGACAGTCGTGAATTCAGAGTCCCGTCAGGGTCGGTGCTGACCTTCGCGACTCTGCTCTTCGCGGGAAGTCGACTTTCATGCGGTTCCCGCTCTCTTTCTTTCAGCTCGACAAATTATTGACTAACTATATTACTCATTTGCGGAGCGCCGCATCCACCATACGACGAATGATCTGGGCAAACCGCGGTGACGGATCGCGACATTGTCCTTCATCGCAGGAGACGGAGGAGACAGAGGGAGGAGAGAAACCGCTTATTAATTATTCCGCGGTAAACCTCGCCGGAATATACGGCATACAACGAAGGAAAAAATGACGAGCGTCTAAAAGTAGCGTTACACACCGGTCGTCGTAAATGCCTTGACGTTTGCTAACGTAAACAGCGATCCGTTATACAGAAACATAAATAACAACGATCAGCGATGACTGGAACCTTATAGATGTTATATCCGATAAAGCTGAAGACAAATCAGGATTCATCTCGTGATACGCCTTGCGACTATCGGCCGCCAATAGTCTCGCTGTTCGACGTTGTTTCCTGACTCTACAAACTGAGAGTAGACATTTTTTATGGTATAGTTTTTTTTATAGTAAAACTACTTTTTAGTTAATTTTAGGCGTCCATAAGGCTTAGATTTTTTGTTTTACGTAAAAAAAACGTATGGATTTATTGGTAAAAAATACAAAATCTTAAAAATCATAATAATTTTGTAAGTAGGATCATTTTTGCATAACTATGGCCGCATAATTCTAGGCATTTTTATTCTTTTGGTCTTTAAATATGAATATTTAAACTTTTAACATAAAAACAAACAATTAGTAAAGCAAATAAGAGCCAACAGCCGATCTCAAAGGAGCCGATCTCTTATCAATTTAATCAAACCAATAGGTAGTTTCGATCCCGTTTTGGACCCTCTTCGTTTGAATTTATGTTAATATAAGCCATTGTACATCTACTGGTTTGATTAAATTGATAAGTGCACCTTTGAGATCGGCTGTTGGCTCTTATTTGCTTTACTAATTGTTTGTTTTGATTCGCGTCAAGAGCCTTTAATTTATTTAATTAATTTTAACATAAAAAAATACATATATTGAGTATATATATAAATTCTATGTTGAAAATTTAAATATTTGTATTTAAAGATCAAAGCAATAAGAATGTTCAGGATTGTCCGGGAATTACTATTTTTACTTTAAGATGTACAAAAGCGAGAATTTGATGTCTTATGTGTACCATTTTCTTATTTTTCTTTTCATTTCGCCTCACGATGAGCTAGATGCGAGGAGAAGGAAAGGCAGCATAGAAAAAAAGAATAAAAAACGAGGAAGGGAGAAGAAAGAGGGATGGACCAGCGTCAAAATCTCCGGTTGTTTCCTGGGATAGGCGCGGGTCACTAACCAGCGACCAGAAAAACAGCCTGGGACCGGTGTCGTGGCCTTGATTCTGTCTCAGGATCCTTCGAAAGCACGGCAGTGTGTCGATCAAGTTGAAAGGATTAGACGGACGTCTTCGTGCGTTTTCTCGGAGTCGTCGATGAGCGCGACGTGTGGTGAGAATAGTTTCGGAATTGAACCGCGAATTCGCAATAATCTCGCGCGACAATTCAACGGCGAGTTCATCGGAGCCGATCGGTGGAAAGGACCCTAACAGCGCAGATATCCAAAGGATATCCTGAGAATGTTCTAAGGATGTCTCTACAACCTAGGAATATTCTCAAGTCATCCCTAGAAGATCTTGTGCTGTTAGGGGAAGATATGCTATATGAAATACATAACAAAAAAAAGAGGAGAGAGGGAAAAGTCGTCGAAGGAGCAGTGAAAGTGCCAAAGTTGAGGAATCCGATCTCAGTATTATCTCGCAATTATCGTGAATCCCGGGATCGAGACTTGCAATTTTCCAGAACTGTGCGATCTTTCAGAAAATACGACGAAAGAGAAATCGATCTGTTGAAATCTCTTATCGCGATGTTCCTCCTCGGTTAAAAACTTGGTCGGAGGATACCTTCATCGATTAATGCGGAATTCCGCAGCCTCCGCTAGGAAGACGCGTCGAAGACAGCGACTTTGAGGACTGGAAAATTCTGGCGACTTCACCGTTCGACCTTTCGCATCTAGTCCTCCTCCTAGTGAGTGTTCGTCTAATTATCATTGCCGAAGCGTTATCGTTCATTTCGTAACGTCCCGAGTGCTTTTTCAGCTTCTTCGCGGAGATTTAAGCACTTCGTCATACACCCACGATCCCATCGACCAAGTTTGATTTATATTCGTCTCCTCAGGTCGTTCCACGAATTTATACGTGTCACTCGGAGACGTCTCGGCAAAGTGTGGATGTATGCACGAAGCGAAGCGTCCTGTCTGAACCCAACTGAGGGAGAATTGTCGCTGCGGGAAAGAGAGAAAAGTCGCCCCATCCAAAGACGACCCGTCCTTTACGTCCCAAACATCACAGATCTCTACAGGACATCCTAAAGACGTTCTGAGAACGTCCCTACATCCTGAGAACGTCTCTACATCCTCAGAACGTCCTCTGGAGATCTTGTGCTGTCTGGATTGTAAGGACCCACAGGAAAATGTAAGCAGTAAAGAAATTGACCAATCACAATCGATTATTCTTCGACTGTGAGAAGAATTGTCGATTATGGTTAGCCAATTTGCTTACTAATTACCTTTGACTACTTACCGTCGATCTCATTGTAGATAGTCCTTTACGTTTTCCTGTATCTTCGGCCTTAAGACTCCTGGCCCGCGAGGGTCAATTCCGCGAGCGATCAGGAGCCTTAATGGCGTTCTCGTGTAACGATTTGTCGCGAAAAATCTTGAGATAACGTACTCTCACAGACGCCGCGGACAGATGCGGGACCGCACTAATGGCTAATGGACGCCCATAATAAATGCGTTATTATGATATAACACGTGTTGCCGGATTTATGACGACGGTCGTTTTCGCGCCTCATCGCCGCCTCTGGCGTAACCAGTGTTGCGCTTAGATGGTCTTAAAATCATCTAGAATCTATGAAGGTGAGATTAAAATCCGTAAATCCATCTTAGATGAAATGATTTTACTTTTAAAGTATCTAGATGAGATAGTCCTGCGATTCACACACATTTAGATCCCTTTTTAATTTTTTTTAACAATTTACATAAATACATAAAAATTGCGCAGATAATTAAAAAAATATACAAACATACACACAGTACACATAGTTTTATTATTTCATTAAGTTTTTATTTTTAAAAAATAAGAGTTTTTCAACAGTTTGAACAGTAAAATGTACCTTGTATCTGAAGAAAATTTGTTTCACATTAAGGAAATCCGTTCGAGAGTGCAACTTCTTCGATTTTGACTGGAAATAGAAAAATGCTTCGATGTTAATGCCAACAACTAACAACATTTTTTTCATATAATATCGCGAAAAAAATTTTTATCTCCGTTACTACCAGAAAAAGATTTGTTTTCGAATGCATTCATATTTTTTTAATAAATTATTTTAATATTATTATAAATTATCTACTTTTTTAAAGAAGAGTCTTTACATAAAAATGCCACTAGCTAAAAATTCTAGGTGACAAATTCTACTGTTGTTATCGTTATCAGAAACATCTTTAAATCCTTCTGAAATAAAATGGAACATTTTTGAAGTAAGATGAAGATGCCATATGCCTTTACCATCTAGACATAGGTGACATGTTTAGATTTCTCCATCCAGACAGTTTCATCTAGATACCATAAGCATAGACAGCATAAACGTTGGGTGTAACTCTCCCTGGACGACGTCTCCTCGTGCACAACGCGAGCCGGCCGGCCGGCGATGAAGTAAGCGGTCGTTTCGCCTTGACGTTTCGCCCGAACAATTAGTTATACAAATGCTCACTTGTAAATAACAAACTTTCGATGAGAGACACGAACGAGGCCATAAATTCACGAGGAGGCCGCTCGAGCGAACGGAAACCTTGAGCGATTGTTTATCGGTGGCTGATCATCCGCCACTGATTTATCGCGCAGCCCTTATTTATTAACGTCGCATACATTATAAGGCGATACAGGGTATAGAACAGTCACTTTATGACGCGTTAATTGTAAGTATTTGAATTAGATGGAGAGAAACAGAGTACCGGTTCATTTGCATCCCGACTGAATCGGACGATCGTGTTTCGCTCGCGCCCATTAACGGCGCCGATTACGAATTCCGACTCGTTTTCTTCTTATTTTCTCTCCCTCCCTTTCTCTCTCTCTTTGTTTTTTCTTTTTTCGATCCGTGACACATAGAATTTATATTCGGCGTTAGCGTTCTGCGCCTTTCTATCGCGGTGGCGTTGAACCCGACGTTTGGGCGTCGTGTTTCACCCATAATCCGACCCATTAACCGCTCCCGAGTCGAATCGAACTCGAGAGTCAAACTCAACAGGAGAGAAGGAGAGAGAACCAGATCTCCCAATTCCAAAACGGCCCGCACATAGCGGCACAGTCATGGGTGTGTACGCGCGCGTATTCGGTAACAATTAATCGGGGAGGGGAGACCGCTATTCTCGAATTTGAATACCCGTCTAACCCGTGGATCTTTGTTCTCGTGAGGAACGCGTTAGCCTCCCTATCTGTCGATCTCTCCACCGGGAGCCACCACTTGTATGCGGAGTCCGTATCCGCAACGGTACCGCCTAAGACAGCCGTCGAATTCGCCTCTTTCGAATCCCGTCCGAAACGAGAAGACGACGAGATGACGTTTATTATTTCGGAGGTAAAGGCTCCTCGTCACGAGCGAAGGTACCCGGTGAACGACTGGACACGGTGAAAAACTGGACTGTCGCGACGATTCCGTCCGCTGCTAATTAGGCGAATAAATTAGGCCGAACTGACGGATTGATACGCGTTAATTTGCATTTCTCGCGAAGTAAGGGGTTGAGCACGATAAAAGGAGTAAGGTGTAGGGAATCGAGAATAGAGAACAGGAAACAGCAAATAGGGAACAGTTCAATATTAAAACATGAAACCTAATTCATCAACGCAAAATATAGATACAGAGGAATAGAGCTAAGACAGAAAACGAGTCGTAAACGTAGGATAAAAGGAGTAAGGTGTAGGGAATCGAGAATAGAGAACAGGAAACAGCAAATAGGGAACAGTTCAATATTAAAACATGAAACCTAATTCATCAACGCAAAATATAGATACAGAGGAATAGAGCTAAGACAGAAAACGAGTCGTAAACGTAGGATAAAAGGAGTAAGATGTAGGGAATCGAGAATAGAGAACAGGAAACAGCAAATAGGGAACAATTCAATATTAAAACATGAAACCTAATTCATCAACGCAAAATATAGATACAGAGGAATAGAGCTAAGACAGAAAACGAGTCGTAAACGTAGGATAAAAGGAGTAAGGTGTAGGGAATCGAGAATAGAGAACAGGAAACAGCAAATAGGGAACAGTTCAATATTAAAACATGAAACCTAATTCATCAATGCAAAATAGAGGAATAGGGCTAAGACAGAGAACGAGACATAAGCGTCGTAGTCGTAGACGTAAAGTAAGACAGAGGAAAACGTAAGGCTAATAGCCTTTCATGACATACGTTTTTCTCGGCCTTATTTTACGTCTCGTTCTCTGCTTTAGCCCATAGCGTTATTTCTTGTTTTCAGTATTCCTTATTCCTTATTCTCTGATCCCTGTTCCTTATTCCTTTTATTGTGCTCAGTCCCTCACATTCTAATAGAGCAGTTCTATTAGACACAATCATTGACATCTCCCTTGCAAAAAAGATCTGCTGACAATCAAGCTTGGATAATAATTCCTAAAGATACTTTGGAAGTTTCAACTGAAAACGTGCAAGTGAATATAATCAAATAATTTGATAAATATTAACAAATCATGCTAGCAAGGCTGTCGCTAAAGACTTGGTGAGCGAATATGCGCGATACGCGGTGATGAGGTCGATAACGATGATCGGGACTGACTGAAGTGTTCCGCCGAAAACACATTACGATTCCTTTACTTTCCCTTTCACTATCATTTCTTCACTTTTCCTCCTCCTTTACTGTCCCTTTCACTCGCGAGATTTCTCGACGTTCTTGACGAGGAAACGAACGGATGGACCGACCACTCGCAAGTTCAAGGCGAATCGTTGCCATTCCGTTCGTAGGGCGCCTTATTTTTGGAAAGCCGCCCCCTGAGAGAGCCAGTCCGTGCATACCTGTACGATCGTCGATCGTCAGATTCTACGACGAGACTAGTCCATAACCGTCCTCTACCGTCCGTCGACCTCCTCCTGGTCGCTGACTATAAAATCTGCGAGTCGACTCCTCTTTCTCGGTGGTCGCGTATCATGACGAGGCTTCCTCTCAACCGCCGATTAACTCGCGCGGGGCGAACCAGAAGGTCCCGGCGAGTCTCCGCTCTAATTACAGATCGGCGATTTGCGAATCGATCGCGAGTCATTCTAGGCCCTGACAATCGCGTAAACTGTACATGAGGCCAACGACAACATATTTCCCTCTCGTGTAATATGCGACCGCTAATGATCCGTTTCGGTGCACTCGATGCCAAGGTCGCGGCTCTCTCTCTCTCTCTCTCTCTCTCTCTCTCTCTCTCTCTCTCTCTCTCT